GCACGTCCAAGGTCTGAGTCACATTGACTTTCCTTATAGACAGGACAACACCTTGTACAGGGCATGATAGCAGATGAGAGCGGTCATTTATCTCTGTCAAACACACTGACACACACACACACACACAAATATCAAAAACATATGGAAAATATCTTGTGAAGTGAGTGAAGGACCTTTCCACAGAGTAGTGCTCTAACAAAGTGAGGAGGCGTCACAAGGAGAATTCATGTCCAGGGCTGCCGTTGAGCACAGATCAGGCCTGACGTGTGTGTCAGGCTGCGTGCGTGTTTTTGTGACTTGAACATGCGTGGAAGAGACAGGTTATAGTACAGATCAGGACACATTAACTCTGCTCCGTGTGCAGTGCTGTGGACAGGAGCGCTGCGGTAGCACAATGGGATCGAAGAGAGACTACAGTGACTCTCTTTGTTTTTGTTGACAGCTCTGGGCTCATCGCAGCTTAGTGATGGATACAAACAGACCTGAAGCGTAAACAGAAAAATACATCTACTTTGTAGCTCTGTAATCACAGGCCTTAATCAATGCTGTTGTTAATCGATGAGGCTTTTATCATTAAAATCAGACATGGCCTGAGACCTGGACTCTGGCTGTCAGATGATGTTTGCAACATATTTAATTCATACAGAAAACCCCGAATCAATAGTGTTTTTGTATTTGGAACAGGCTCATTCGATGAAGGAATATTTTGTGAAGCAAAGAGACATAAACCATAACTGACAAAAATAATTGTGAGTTGTGAATTATTTTATGACCATTGGATTAGAATCTAGACTCCGCAAGAACATTTCCAGTTTCCCAGGTTTTATGGCAGTAATAAGGCTATAATAAAAATAAATTTGATGGGGGGAGGGTCCTTACAACTGTCAAATATACTTCACTCAGTTACTCTGAGCAGTTTCTCCTGGACCTATTTTATAAATGTATTTTTTTAATCTATGTTTTAATCCACCTAGTAGTCCAAATTAACAGCTTATTTGTTGATTGCACAACTCTGTTGTGTTTTCTAAAAGAAGTTCTTGATGAAAATGGGTTTTCGTTCTACATTCAGCTGTTTACCCCAAATATTTATGTTGCACTTGTTTCTTCCAAATATGTTGGTATTACTCACACAAAGAAGCAAACATCTCTTCTCCATTGTGTGTTTGAACAGAGTCGTGACGGCGCTGATAGAATAGTGTGACATTAAGAGTGAAAATGGAGGCTTTAGTCGAAAACTGAAAATCTCTGAGAGTTGAAATGAGGTTAAAATAGTGTGGTTTAAGAATCGAAAAATCCGGGGGAAAATCCTCGCGGTCATGAGGCAGTTGCATCTTCAGTCTTTCAGGTCAGCTCTTCATCCCCTCCAAAATATTCATCTGCTGACCTCTGTGACCTCTCACCATTCACCACTTCTTTTTAAAACCTGAGCATTACCTTCTTCCTCCCGCTACTTCCTTTTTATCTCTCATCTCACATCTTATCTGTCCATTCTCATATTTAACCGAGACTGCAGATGAGTCTGAGTGTGTGTGTGTGTGCGTGTGTGTAAATGTAGATGTATATTGAACTCTGCAGTGGGCTCTGTGTTTGACAGACAGCAGCAGCAGCTCTTGGTTTACACTGTTCTGCTTTAATGAAATGTGGAGGCTGTGGTGTATCTCACATACTGTTGTCCTGTTGAAGTCCCAGGATCCTGGACAGTTACAGATAACTGTCTACTTTGGTGTATCTTCTCTACCGCTCTGTAAGTTACCAAAATATTTACCCACCTAGCTTTACCTCTATGTAGACCTGTGCTTTTTCCCTGTGGACATCTGTCAGTTTTTCAGTCTTCCTATATGATTTTAAGTGAACCCATGTATATATCCATGACGCTGTTGTCCTCAACAGTAGTGCATTCATCAGTCCACACTCCCTCACAATCCATTTGACAGTTGTGTCAGTCGGCTCGTCAGTCGTAGACTCACTCACTGCCCTGTGCTCAGTGAGGCTGGTCTGACGCAAACCAGGTGTCTGACCTGAAGTTGAAGCCTCCACGAACACACGCTGGGAGCTGAGATGGTATTTGAAGACCGAGCTGCTTCAGTGAATTGTTCCCGCAGCGCCGGCAAACAACATGTGTATCGTCTGTTCCGTCTTTGTATCTTTTTTTATATACTCGATCTCCTTGACAACAGCCATCTCACTCAGGTCAACATCAGTCAATCAGTTAGAATTTTTTCAGTGATATCTTCAAGTCGTGACTTATGCAGGTGAATTTCATATATCATACATCTCTTACCAAACACTTCTTCTGTCTTTTTGTCACATGTTGCGGGTCAGCTAACTAAGCTGCAGTGACAATGTAGTGTCAGGGTGTTGCAGAGAAATTTCCGCACATTACAAACCCACAGTGACAACGTTTCATCATTTTAAGTCACAGGTCAACAAACAAGGGCAGCAAACAGTAAGATAAACAGGACTTCCTGTCTTCCAGACCAGAGGCAATGCCATGCATCTGACAGGGTTTTTAAAAACATTATGTTTTAGAACTGGTCTGACACATTTTCCATCTCAAGTTAATAAGGACTGCAGTATTAGTATTAGTAGGCCTACATAAACACTGGGTATATAAGTTGAATGCTTTAAATGTCCATTTCTGTGCAATTCAACAGGTACTAGAATATGTTCATTTAAATCAATATAATTTTTTTTTCATATTATGTTATAGTTAACTAGGAAATATCATTGCCATACTAATATTCTATCCTGCCACAACTACACTACAACACTATGATGCAAGTACCAGATCAAACCAGTTCTGCGCGATGTACTTTTTGACTTCCGTACTACTTCATTTATATTCACTGTAGTCAATGATCCATCTTTCGCTGTCACTGAAGATGACTACTTCATTTGAAGCACCAATATTTCTGCCTACAGCATTGTAGATATTGTATAATACTATCTTACACTTAACAAGGAAATAACTCTGCCATGATTATTTTATCTCGCCACTACGACACTGTTGTTTTGATTAAATGCCTCTGCGGGCAAAAGATGAAATATATCCATGCTAAATAGTTTGTGACTTTCTCACTAGCAAAGACAGAGATGATTTGAAGTTATTTTATATTCAGTGTTGTCATCGATCCATCTTTTGTTGTCACTCATGACGCTTAAATCACTTTAAATCACCTATCTATCCATCCATCTATCCACCCATCCATCCATCTATATATCCATCTATCCATCCATC